GTAAGGCAGCACCATCTCTTCGCATTGTAGGTAACCCACAATGTCAAATGAATACTTTTTCAAGTATTAAACATTTGAAGGAAGAAATAGCAATTATAGTTATGATTATATTTATTTTTTAAGCATTTAACTGCTAGATGTTTAAATCTAAAGAAAAGTTTACTAGAAAAATCCACGCGGACCAGGCAGCGGACGGGACTCGAACCCGCATCCTTCGCAATCCGGGCGAATGCACTGACCATTATGCTACCACGGCCCTATTAGCCGCGTCGAAATTTTCCTAGCCTTAAGCTGCAAGGCAGCACCATCTCTTCGCATTGTAGGTAACCCACAATGTCAAATGAATACTTTTTCAAGTATTAAACATTTGAAAGAAAGAAATAGCAATTATAGTTATGATTTTATTTATTTTTTAAGCATTCAACTGCTAGATGTTTAAATCTAAAGAAAAGTTTACTAGAAAAAAATCCACGCGGACCAGGCAGCGGACGGGACTCGAACCCGCATCCTTCGCAATCCGGGCGAATGCACTGACCATTATGCTACCACGGCCCTATTAGCCGCGTCGAAATTTTCCTAGCCTTAAGCTGCAAGGCAGCACCATCACTTCGCATTGTAGGTAACCCACAATGTCAAATGAATACTTTTTCAAGTATTAAACATTTGAAGGAAGAAATAGCAATTATAGTTATGATTTTATTTATTTTTTAAGCATTTAACTGCTAGATGTTTAAATCTAAAGAAAAGTTTACTAGAAAAAAATCCACGCGGACCAGGCACCGGACGGGACTCGAACCCGCATCCTTCGCAATCCGGGCGAACGCACTGCCCATTATGCTACCACGGCCCTATTAGCCGCGTCGAAATTTTCCTAGCCTTAAGCTGCAAGGCAGCACCATCTCTTCGCATTGTAGGTAACCCACAATGTCAAATGAATACTTTTTCAAGAAAGAGTATTCATTTGCCGGGATTGCGAAGGATGCGGGTTCGAGTCCCGTCCGCTGCCTGGCCCGCGTGGATTTTTTTCTAGTAAACTTTTCTTTAGATTTAAACATCTAGCAGTTAAATGCTTAAAAAATAAATAAAATCATAAAAAACTAATATTGAATAAAAGATACTTTCATTTTTTTACTGACGCTACTCTGTAGTGACGTCGAGTACTGGTCGCGTGATTAGTCGGCAGTGCAGTGACGCGGATCTCGCCGTCCCGTTCGCGCTGCCGTTGAAACTTAAATTGCTGTTTCGTTCGTTCGATTGTATCTTTACAAACAGGTGCATGTGTGTGTTGCATATGTAGTAAAGTGGGATCAGTTTTTGTTTGATGCAAGTAAGAGCGTACCGTATCTACCCTTTTTGTTTTAATCTAAGGTTAATAGCCGTTTTTCGTTGGTTGCCACACTAAAATTGTGTGGATATACTTCAGCTTTTCAATGGAACATCCCACCACAACCAAAAGTTTATTTAGGGGGTCTAAGGTTTTTTTTGTTACGGAATTTCTTGATTAGGTCGCCGCGCTCTAGGCCCGCGATAAAATCTATGCTTAAAAATAAGTAAAATAAAACTCATTTATTTCGATCAATATAACTCATAATCGTTACTATAGAAATAGATACATGTCACTAATAAAACAACTAATTATTTATTTAGTTTAAAATTTATTCAAAACAGTAGTTATTTAATTAAATATAATAATTCAGGTTAAGGTCAATAGATTATATGTCATAAAGGACAAAATGTTAATAAATTACATAGGTAATTTAAAATTCATTAATTTCCATCAAATAAAAAATATTTAACAGTTTAGGAAAACGGAAAACACACACAAGTCTAAGATATCTTAATATAATTTATAATGTCACACACAAAAAGTAAAAAAGGCAAAACTTACTTAAAAAGTCATATCTGCAAAAAACATCATCACCCCGATGATGTTTTAATATCTCATCAGTAAATTATCAAAAAGTTTGTGTCAAGGAATGACTCAGACACTTAACGTCACCCAATGAATGATCGACTATTGTTGCTTGAATGGTTCGAAGCATCAATTACTCTGACCTTTTCTAGTGAATGGTTGAACGGAGTATGCGCCGCGCATCACCAATCAACCGCAGCGTGGTAACCTTGAAAGTTTTTGCCAAGTTAGATAATACTTTTCTAAAGTTAGTTAGTTTAATCAATTTTAAAATTTATAATTTTATTCCTAGAAAATTCTCCTATGCTAAACTGATACCCCCTTACTACAAAACGAAGACTAAAGTTAGTCTTGAATTAAACCTAATGTTGTCTTTGTCTTCTTTTTAGCAAACAAAAGTGACAGCATCAGTTTTAGTCCAGGAGGTCTACTCTATTTCAACGAAAAACGAAACTGTAAGTGTGTTTATTTTTATTACCTAATAATATCAAGTGTCTTGGTAAATGCTGTGTACAATTTTAATGGGGCACTATTATATCAAGGTTTAAATTAAAGTTCTTAAAATGTATGTTTGTTATCTGATGTTTGTCATTGTACCTTACTTCTTAAAAAAATCAAGAAGGAAAAGGAGTTCTGTAAAGAAGAAGTTCGTGTTGGATGAACAAAAATCGCTATCCAAGCGAACAAATTAAAACATGATTTCCAGTAACGTTTTTATAAGCACTGGGAAGTTTAAATCGACAGTGAAAGCAAAATCGCTTATACGCTATTTTGGTGTTTCTTACAAATTAACATTAAATAAAAGTGAAATTTAGTCAGTTTTGCAGCACCAAACTGGCGTATACGCGATTTTGCTTTTCCACCATCGATATAATATAGATCGGAGAACAGATTCAAGAACCATGTTGCTGCAGAAAGAGGTGTGACCGATAAAATAAGTGGTCGTCGGTTCAGTTGACAGTAAATTGAGAACATCGAACTCGTTCCGTCCTTCGGTTCCGCTTGCAGGCAACCGGCATTTGATCAGAGATGCTCTAGGTCAACATTGTCAGAAGAAGCCCAGTACCTTATATTTTTAGTACGTCATGGGCATATTTTGTAGTAGTAGAACTTATATTCTACTTAATTGAGGTTTTTTTGAGGGGCTTGATGGCGCAAGTGGTTGGCGCGTTCGGCTGCGATCTTTCAAGTTAAGGAACTTTTGCAGTGGTCGGTCATTGGATGGGTGACCAAAAATTTATTATCTTGAGCACCTCTGTGCTTCGGAAGGCACGTTAAGCCGTTGGTCCCGGCTGCATCTGCAGTCGTTAGCATCCACCAATCCGCACTGGGCCCGCGTGGTGGGTCATGGCCCAATCTCCATATTCCATCCATAGGAAAGGCCTGTGCGACAGCAGTGGGGACATTAATAGGCTGATTATGATGATGAGGTTCTTGATATCATACGAGCTGACGGCTCACCTGATGGTAAGTGATCACCGTCACCAAAGACACTTGTAGCACCAGAATCAAGAGTATCACAAATGCGATGCCCGCCTTTAAGGACAGTATACGCTCTTGTTTTGAAGGGTTTTGGTCGTATTGGTGCAGAAACATTGCTGGCGATAATTTATTACACAGTCTTGTCCTACGTAAAAACTCTATTAAATCGAGGTGGGTAGTGGGTTGCTGAAGACCGTAGTTTAATAGAAACACATTATGAGAAGAATTTGCGAGTTCTTCTCATAAAAGCCACATAGAATTAATGATACTGAACATACCGAGTATTGTACGGATCCTGCGGGGCGGTTCATAGCTACTAAAGGCCATTCTGTTTTCAGTCCCGAATAACATCACAGAACATCACTTACGTTCCTTGAAACAGGAATTGCGGTGGCATTTATAGCTAGTACAAAAGCAGCGTTTCCTGCAGAGTTCCGAGAAGTTGTGTCTTTCCTTCGTTTATAGGAAATTTATTAGGAATATTTCCAAAGTTCCCCGATGCTTCCGGGAACATTTCCAATAAATGAGGTTATTACTTCAATTTTACAATGAATACATTACTGGGAATATCGAATTATTCCAGCGGCACGCCACTGGTGAGGTCTTTCGGCATTTGTCACCAATAAAGCGTGCAGACCTACTGTATTCATGCGTTCGTTAAACTGTTGCAGATGCTTATTTTGATTATCTGCTGTACCAGCTATCTTCACGTCTGGACTTCACCAGCATTTAACATCAGGTGGGGTGGAGTCATTTGTCAGACCTAAATATAAAAAAAAATGGGTTGTATGTTGTATGGTATAGGAAACACATGTTGGTCTATCCAAAGAGAATAGCATTGTTCTTTCTTCTTGAATAATTCTAGTTTTCTTTTTATATATTTACTTTAATTTATTAGAGTGATATGAACGGAAACGGATTGGGTAATAATGACACATGACTTAAAGATTATTGATTCGAACTTTAAGGCTAAGACCTCACGGAGCGGTTTTCACCCACACCGCCGGTACCACGGGTGCCGCAAACAACAGTGAACGCAGCGGGTGTAAATCGCGATGTGAAGTTTGTTAATGTCCTTTACCTACAATATAACATTATACGTTAGCTGCGGCGGCAGGTGCGGGTGGAATTCGCTCCGTGAGTTCTTAACCTAATTCCAATTATTTTTATTATACCTTGAATAGTCACATTTTTTCCGAAGGTCGCTTGTTGTTTCGGACAATTGACCAAGTAAATGTTCCACGCTTGCTTTAATAGTTTAATGTAAGTGTTTTTATGCAGTAAAAAAATTGTTGAGTGGAGGTAAAATACATAGTTAATAACTATTTAACTTAACTTTGAACTGATGTCCTTACTGTTTTGTTTTACGTATGAGATGTTTTTGTATGATAAAAATAGACCATATTGCCTTAAATTATAAAATGCAAATTGGACCCGAAAATACTGATACTCAGCAGAAATTTAAGGCCTATCTGTCTCTTCACTGTCAGACTGATCTTTCCCCAACGCATTGTACTGCACTTCAAATGCACCATGTCGCCTGAGGTAACACGGATGCCACTCGCGCGCAATCACCTCCATTTATCAATATCAACAAACGCGCCGACAGACAGTCAGTCCCTGCCTATTCGTTTCGGACCGTCAGTACCTTACAGAGACCAACGCTGGCGCATGCTAAGTTTACACTTTTAAATGATATTTTTTTCTTTAACCTCGTTATAACGTACTTATCAGTGATCGGTTTTTGTTTTATGGCGATGACAGCCGACAAACCAACGGAGTTTGACGATGTGTTGAAGAACTTCAATGTGTTCGGTCGTTACCATTCAGTGTTTTTGTTTTTCACCTTTCTGGCGTTCGCGGCCAATAGCATATTTTGCAGCAACTATGTGTTCGCCGCCGAGGAGGTCGGTTACAGGTTTGTTGATATAAATGTGTTTGTGCAGCGGTAAGGTAATATTTAAATTGCAATCTCTTTTGCGAGTCTTTGTTTTTCTTACTGTCTTATTTATAGTTTTTTTCGACAGCTGTGTTGTAAATGTTAATTTATGACGATGACGACTCAAATCCTTTTAAGGACAGATGCTAAATGTCACGGTGTCGATGCATATACATAAATGAAAAATTAATAATTAAAGATTTAGTTATATTTCTGGAATTTTAAGCATTTAACTGCTAGATGTTTAAATCTAAAGAAAATTTTACTAGAAAAAAATCCACGCGGACCAGGCAGCAGACGGGACTCGAACCCGCACCCTTCGCTATCCGGGCGAATGCACTGACGATTATGCTACCGCAGCCCTGACGGTCATGTCGAATTTTCTCTAGCCTTAGGCTGCAAGGCAGTTAAAGATTTACCAAGTAAGAAAAAATAAAGTGCCTCTTCCGCCTCTTAATGTATTAAAGTTCCCTGTCACAGTTACTTAGTATTGTATTTATTTGAATTATCTGAATGTTGCTTAATTTTATTATATACACATATATAAAGATGCAGCAATTTTATTCATTTTTATGAGATGTGAAAGCATTATTGCAGCTATCCATTGCGAATAAAATGGATCTATCACAGAGTTTGTAACCTAACAACGATTGAAGTTAATACAAGTGCTTCCACCGAAAAAGAGGTGGCTGGAAAGTTTTCATAGTCAAAGACAAAATCTGTTTTACTTCCACTCAGCTATTTCCGCTCTTGAATTTATCTGAGTGTGAGAACTGGGTAAAAAATAGAGATTAGTTACAAGAGTTTACGAGTTGTACCACAGAGTCGGTTAAAGTTAAATTTATTACGACCTATCTGTCGTATTAAAATGACATATTTTATCAGTGATGACATATTTTATCAGCTAAAGAATGTTGGTGCAACTCCCGCTAAATGTTTCTAATTTAGATCTAAAAATTACATTAAAACCTGATTTTCTTATTTGGTTCACAGTTTACAGGAAAAATTGAAAAATAATAAACTCAAATAATGAATTGAAAATTGAATACAAGAATTGGTAGAGTGATTCCTAGTGGTTGTGAACACACTATGCATACAAGTATGCATAGAATGCATTAATCAATTATGAAAGGGTTTCGTAGTCCCTGACAAGAAACCCTTATATTTTTGTCATGTCCGTCTGTTTGTCCGTCCTCGGTTATGCTTGAATACTGTTAGCACTAGAGAGCTGTAAATTTGTGGAGGTATGTCATATCAATCATGCCGAAAAATAGTAGAATAAATTTTTGAAAAATTTTTTTAGGTTAGTTCTCCTATATTTAGCCTGGGGGTGTTTTGATGTGTAACATCTTTCCTCTCGCTTTCGTGCAATTTGTGGGAGTGATTACGTGAAGTATTACATGAAGTTTGGGAAGCGCGCGCTATTTGATTTGATTTTATAATATAATGTTTAAATGTCTTATTCCTTTTGTAGTAGGTTTTATTTCTTTTTTTACTAATATAACGTGAGGTTTCAAATGTTACACATCATACGCGAATACTGTAAGGCTCGCTCGATTTTTTTTATCATCTACCCCGTCGTGTGTATGGTTCATCGTTGAATAGATCCTTTAAAATTACTTAGAGGTTTCTAAGACTATCATCGATTCAGGGATCTGTTTGCTAATATTGAATTTAAAATGAAAATTTGCAAATATTGAACTTTAAAGTGTCAATTTTTGTTCGATAAGGTTATTCTATTGGCTTGAAAATATTGGAAAAATTCATAATAATACTGTTTTTTATGAACTTTTAAGGAAAACTATAATGGTTAAGATAGATTTGTTAGCTTAACAGTAATGGTCGTTCAACTTTGGTTTAAGAAAATTTCTTACGTATTGAAAATTCCTTAGAAGAAAACATCAAATAATGAAATATCATTAGTTCCACAACGCTACCGCGAGTACCAACGGCAACGGCATAGGCTTCTGAGTGAGTCAGAGCTAACGTTACGTTTTTATAAAAAAAGTATATAAGCACTTAAAAAGATCGCACACCGCATCATCCCCTTCCCAGGGGATAATCGCTTCAGATGAAGCTTTTAGTCAGAGTCTGACCTAACCTTGCAGCCGGCTGTAGGGTGGATATCCATGAGGATTTCTTACCCGCCCGCCTGGGAGGAAACAAAAAATAGCGGTTATCATTCGTATTTAAAAAAAATAATATCGAATTGATTTTTGTCTTTGAGACTCACTTTGACTTTGATTTAGGTATTTTAGTTGATTGTTATTCAAAGATTGATATTAATTAGTTCATCTAATTTCCGATATAGAAAAAAAAGACTCCTGCTCACATATATTGTGGTGACTACAGGCACCTACTTCCGCATGGCCCATGTCATGTAACATATTAGACTTCACTATTCGAACCGCGCGTAAAAAATTATCTATATAAAACTTCGACGCCCTCAATCCCCTTTTGGGGGGTAGTTTAGGAAAACTAAAAATGATAAACTTTATCATTTAATTAGTTTTAAGCCATTTATTTGCCAAGTTTCAAGTCTATTAACCCAAATAATAAGATTTTTCACACAAACTTTCATCCACTTTTGACCCCTCAGGGGTAGAATTTCAAAAATGTAGATACATGTGCTCTTTATTTCTAATCTCAAGTGTGAATACTGAGTTTCGAGCTAATCGAATGCCCGTTATAATTAATTCATATAAAAACTTCGGCATCCTCCAATCCCTCCAAAAAGTTTAGGAAAACTAAAAATAACATACTTTATTATTTATTTAGATAAGTATTTGTGTCAAGTAACAAGTCTATTCACTCAAGAAATAAGATTCGGGGGAGAATTTTGAAAAATCCTTTCTTTAGGATTTTAATTTAGGTGTGTTGCACCACCAAAACCAAATAAAGTTAATTGTTTCTACAACTTTCACCGGCTTTGCTTGAATAGTTATTGTAACTATAAAATTATGACCTCATTTTGACTATCGTCAACTGGTGCCATCCATCTTTGATCTAATCGGGTACGATTGAAGTAGAAGTTGGTGCAAGTCACTCTTTTTTTATAAAACAAACTCAAAAAACAAATCGGGCTGTTATTTGAAATAGTAACTTCCTTAATTAACAACTCGCTTAATACTGACTTTCGCTGCCCACGCCTGGGTCATGTTTCTAATTAAATCAAACTCGATATGCACCATGTCTTGTTTTAATTCATATGGTCAAACCTGAATGAACGTTTGATAACTTTAATTTATTTAAGCGAGCTAATTATTTATATTTTATTTCCTGATAAGACACGTTTATAAATTTCAACATCGAATCCATAGATTCCCAAGTTTTTTGTAGACTGTATATTTAGAAAGATCTTCTGTAAGATAATGTACTTAGGGCATATAAGGGAAAATTATTTAATCTTAATGAATTAACCATATGATATTTACGCCATATTTCCACTAGCAAGAAAACGTCTGCGAGAAACTTTAAAACTTTTACGAGTAAGTATCCTTGATTAACAATACTCTAGCAGTCATTTTAGACTTAATTAAAACAAAAATCCCAAAACGAAAATGGAAAGGTAAAACTCTACACTAGTTCAATTTGACGTTAAAATTTCGAAAAATTATCTATCAAATTCAAATTTTAGTTCGAAAGTGTTGTGTATTAGAGTAGGCTTGGAAAAATTAATTGTCAAACACTTTTGGGACGAACGAATTTTCAAAATAAAAAAGTAAGGAACGTGCGAGTCTTTGATCGAAATTTCGGTTTTAGTTAGAATACAGTAGGCCTCCACGTGGTTTTTATTTTTCAATGTGACAATGGCCGCAAAGATTCCAATCAAATGTTTACGTTAAACAACGTCTGTTTTTAAAATGAAAACCTTTTATAAAGGTAGAAGCAAGACCGAGAAACAATGAGCCAATTCAATACACCTTGATGTTTACATTGATGGCACTTTATTATAGTTACAATAAAATAAAATCATCAATACATAGTTTCTTTGATTAAAATTACCTATGGCATGACGGAAGTGTGTAACAGGAAGTCGCGAAAGCGCGCGCTATTCGATTTGATTTTAGAACATAATGTTCAATAGCTTATTCCTTTTGTAGTAGGCTTTATTTCATTTTTACTAATATAAGGTGAGGTTTCAAATGTTACACACCATACGCGACTACTGTAAGGCTCGCTCGTTTTTCTTTGCACAGAATAAACGTAACTATTTGGGAATGAGAAGTTGCGCCATGAAAATAAAAACATATACATAATAAAAAAAAAAACTAAATATCCGTCTTTTAAAAAGTTGCATAATACCTTAACGAATAGATGTCGCATAAGCAAAAATCACTCGGCGTGCCATACATTGCTAGTTAAGCAAACATCAAATCATACGCCAAATAGTAGGGCGTAATCGTCATTGGTTCAAAAACATCGAAAAAAGTCCCTTCAGCGTTATGAAATATATATATCTTTATTTGTGTTGCTTAAGCGGCAAATAAGTGCTAATATCTTAAAGAAACATAAATATACGAAACAGAAAAAAACGTGTGTGCTTATGACCACACGACTGAAGTGAAACTGTAGCTTGATCTGTATGTATATATATATATATATATATATTTGTGTATACAATATATACATGTATGTACATTTCATTTACTAGCTATAAGAGAAACAGAGAAAGAAAATGTGCGCGCGCACTGCTTGCTTTTGCTTATATCCCCCACTCAAATCCCGTTGGCCTCGCCCGAACACACTTTTCGTAACGCGTAACGCATTCGCTAGCTTACCCCCCAAGTCAAGCGTGCGTAAAGAAGTTTCACTTCAAAAAGCTGATTACAAGCCATTTTACCTTTCCACTGTCGACGTGTAGAAATATAACATAATTAAGTAAGATCATCGTTTTACACACACTATTTTGTGAAAATGTGAAGAGAATGTATTACAAAATATTTCTTTTAATTTTAAGACAATTCCACTTTATTTAAGGACATTTTTTTTGAATGATAAACTATGTATATAATTATTAGTCCGTTTAGCGGAATCCAACATTTGTTTGTCTGTAGTTGTTCATTATTGGTTTTCCATTGTATTTAAGTATAAGTAAGTATGAAGGGCAGACCAAAACTTTGTTGTTTTGTTGGATTTTTACTTATTATATAGATAAAATTAAACATTAAGTTAGAGAAAACCGTGTTCATCGTAGTCACAAGTGCATCTTTCTCTAATGACTTCAATTAAGTTGCCTTTACGCAGCACGTGCGAACCGGTGACAATCAAACTTTATTTTTTCAGGAAAATGCGGATCTGTCACAGTTTTTGCTTGGGGCACTGTTCAGTATTTTATTTATATTTTAGTGTAAATGCAAGAGACCTGATCATTGTGGGGAGGGCCAACATTAGAGACCCGTGGCATACGGATAAACAGACGACAGAATGCCAGCCAGGTTCCATTTTAACCCTTTGTGTGCGGAACCCTAAAGCCGAATCATTGACAACGGCCCATAAAATGTGCGAACAACAATAAATGTATGGACTTATATAAATGTGTTTATAAGGTGTACGCACAATAGTGAAGAAGCGAGCAACCGTATTCCGCGTGTCCAACGAGGTCATTTTCCATTCTCGCTCATGGTATGGTTGGGAGTTTCTTATTGGGGCTTAACAGAGGCTCATTTTTGTGAGAAAGGTGTAAAAATGAATGCAGTTGTGTATCAAAATACAGTCCTGATGAACCTTGCGGAACCTGTTTCTCAAACCATGTTCAATAACAGGCACTGGGTATTCCAACAAGATTCGGCGCCAGCCCATAGAGCGAAGAGCACACAAGACTGGCTAGCGGCGCATGAAATCGACTTCATCCGGCACGAAGACTGGCCCTCCTCCAGTCCAGATTTGAGTCCGTTAGATTACAAGATATGGCAATACTTGGAGGAAAAGGCATGCTCAAAGCCTCATCCCAATTTGGAGTCACTCAAGGCATCCTTGATTAAGGCAGCCGCCGATATTGACATGGACCTCGTTCGTGCTGGGATAGACGACTGGCCACGTAGATTGAAGGCCTGTATTCAAAATCACGGAGGTCATTTTGAATAAACTTTAATTTCATAAGGATCTATGTTTTGTTAAGTTCATTTTGGTATATAAATGGTTACATAATGAATAAACTTGTTTCAATTATTTTATATTAAACATGTGACAGAATTTATGACCTGATTAGGTATGCTTATATGTCTTTTGCTCATGTATATTTAATTATTATATATAAGACAAGTACTTTCTATTATGGTATGTTTATATATTAATTACTTTTTTTACTAAATCCGTATTTTTGTTTTTCTGTATTCGTGAAAAGGTTGACTGGCAGAGACTGCTTTTAGAGTTAAGTCTGCCTTTTGTCCATTTTGTAACTGTGGCAATAAAGTTTATATAATTAAATTACTAAATACGAGTATATATGTTTTAGAACATCATCCTTTTTGAGTCAGTTAAAAATATAATATATAAGGGGTAGTTTATTCAACTATAATCAGAACTGCCATGTACAAAGTTTGAATTTTGGCTACTGTCAGTCCTATGCAGACTTATCGTGGTCCAACTGTATAAATTCATTTTAGGTATGCAGGTCGATCTAATGTATGTAAGTTATTGGTATATTGGTCTATCTTTACCACATCGAGTACACTTTATCTCCACTTTACATTTGATACCAAAACATTATCATCATCAGCCTGTTAATGTCCCCACTGCTGGGGCACAGGCCTTCCCTATGGATGGAATAGGGAGTTTGGGCTATGACCCACCACGCGGGCCCAGTGCGGATTGGCGGGTGCTAACGACTGTGGATGCAGCCGGGCCCAATGGCTTAACGAGCCTTCCGAAGCACAGAGGAATTCGAGACAGTAGATTTTTGGTCACCCTTCTAATGACCGACCACTGCGAAAGTTGCTTAACTTTAACGATCGCAGCCGAACGCCCCAGCCACCCGCGCCATCGAGACCTATGATTTATTAGCTCTGAAACGGATCATCACGGTATGAAATCGAGCCGTTCAGTGTTATTTGTATGAAACTCCCTGTTGCAACGTACACTCATCTGTATCGTAACGTAATCGCCTCGCCTCAAAAAAGGTCGTGTCCTGAAGCGATGCCACGAACCCTTTCCGGGTTGATATGCCTGCTTTATTTCGGAAACGGATCTAAGTAAATAAAAAACACTTATTGGAGAAGCAGTACCTAATCTAATGGTCGTAGCAGACATAATCAGACCATTAGATTAGGTACTGCTTCTCCAATTTGTGTTATTTATTTACTTAGATCCGTTTCACCCTTGCGTGCATTTTCTTTTTTTTTATTTTCAACACGCACCAATTAGCCTAGCCCTAAAATAAGCACTGTAGACTTGTGTTATGGGATACTGGGGTAACGAATAGAATACATACAGAGTATATTTATATAGAAATACATATTAAACATCCAATGACCCAGTCAGAGTACAAATGCTTGTATTGATCACACAAACGTTAACCCCAACCGGGATTCGAACCCCGAACCTCTTGAGTAGGCGACACCGTGAATTCCGGCGTAAAAACCACTCGGCCACGGAGGTCGTCTAAATTTATAAACTACTACTACTGTAATTGATTTCAATAAAATTTACCACAAAATAAAATTTGTTTTCTCCTGTCTATCCATATAAGAACTTCAAACAATCCTTCTACCATTGAACTGACAAAAATGTTTCTAATTATTAATATATCAAGTTTTTTTAGCAACGTTCAATTTTTTTGTTTGTTCACAGATGCAAAGACGAGTCTTTTGGTGAGAATGCATGTTACACAACCGGAAGCGATAATCAGACAATACGATGTAAGGAGTGGGTGTACGATAACCCTCACAGCTTTGTTGCAGAGGTAGACATATTTTTTTAAATTACACATTAACCACAATTCGGACATAATTAAGTTTACTAGTTAGTTTTATTTTATATAAGCTCTATTACTTTTGAATTGTCACTCTGTCAATATTGCAACAAACTGATTATTGAAAAGTGCGAAAAACTTGTGGGTATTCAAATATCTGAAACGAGACAGAGAGGTTAGACCCCCCACGACAACGGCTAACTAGAGCCGAGGTCCGAGTCTCAGAGACGCTCTCTAGTTAAGCTGACCCTCTTAGTCTCGAGTGGTCTAGGGGCTCCAGACGGAGAGGAGACTCCCCCCGTGGGGAGATGCCATTCGCCTGGAATACCTCTAGAAGCACTCGCCAATTCTCGGCTTAAGGTCCCCTTAGGATCTCGCCGACCCCAAACCCAGTGACGCTGTAAAGGTCATCTGCGACCAACAGCATACACACTCAAAAAAAAGAGGTTGGCTATGGTGGCCGCTTATAATCAGGTGGACCTTATGCTTGTATTTCACCTTTTTGGCATATTTTTTTTTGTCTAGTTTCAGCTCGCGTGCCATGAATGGAAACGCACTCTAGTAGGAACTGCTCACAGCTTCGGATACATGGTGGGACTACTGATCGTGGGACCGCTGTCTGACAGGTATGCGTGTGGATGGTAGTTTACCTACAATTTTGAACTTTTGCCTTAAAGATTATTTTGAGACGTACTTGCACTTAGGTTCTTAAATCAGATCGAAATGCTAATCATGTGTAAGCTTCTTTTTATTTCTATGTGACTTTAAACAATCGACGAAGAGGGAATGATTTATTCAACTAAACAGGATTAAGAAATATTGGTGCAAGTGGCCTTAATGCTAAAAACTCACAGCATGTTTTTCCCCCGCGCCCACCGTGACTGTGGGACCGCGACTCGCGTAGAATGTAAAATTGCACAACGCGATTGACGGCCGACAGGGCGCGCGGTAGTTTTGCGGCACCCGCTGTTGACGCGCACGGGACGCGATCACGTGCAGATACGGCGGACTTTGACCGAAGGTGCTGTCCGACGGCATGTGTTGTCGCGGGCGGCCGCGCCGCAGATAGTTGTCAATCGTATGAGAACTCTAACGTTTGAGATTTAGCAGTCTCTGTACATGATACGCGGTTAATAGAAACCTCTTACACTTTGATATGAGATTTGAATAATGTTGACTGTTTGTGTCATGAAAACAAACCAAAAATATTATCAGAAAGTAAATGAATGTCCACAAAGAATCGACTCAGTAAGTATAGCTTCATTATGCCTTCACAAGGTGTATGCCTTCAAAGAGATTTCTATTTACCTCGTATTATGTATAGAGACTGCTAAATCCCAAACGTTAGAGTTCTCATACGTTTGGCGGCCGCGGGATCGCAGAAAGCAGTGTTCTCATGAGTGTTCAAATAAAAACAGCTCTGAGGTTGCTCGCAGCAGCAGCTTGGGTGGCAGGTGCAGGAAAAAACCGCTTCGTGGGTTCTTAGCCTAAGGCTCCTTGATTACAGTAAGAAAGGGATGTCGCTGTGTGTTATATATAGCGACATCCCTTTCTAACTGTACTCAAGTAAAGATCAACACTTAGTTTTCATTCTGTAATACGAGCCTAAGTCTATCACAGTAACATCTCAATGATGTCATATTTGGTCGATGGAAGGATTTTTGTGTGATAACATAAGCATAAACATTTGTTTCCGAGTCATAATTGTGTATTTATCCAAATGGGTAATATTATTATGGGTATTATATGCGTTTATTATGGGACGAAATACGTGGTATGAATTGATGTCTGGCATTTTTTTTCTAGGAATTTCATTAATGACAGCGGCCGCTGGTTGTCCAGTCATCATCTTTAAAATAAAATTGTTTTATAAATTACATTGCGTGTTAACACAATGCTATTTGAACAGCTGAAAAGTTCTTTGTTTTTTTTTCGCTTCGTGTGAAAATGATGCTATTGTCATTATAATATTATCGAACTTCGAATATGAAGCGTATTTTTAAACGTGGATAAACAATATGAGCGTGACATGAACCCTCCAGTAGCCTCTAATCAAAAGAACGAAGATTTGGACGCGACCAAAATTCTCTTCATGGTTGCAAAAACATTTTTTGCTGTCATAGTCGTTCTATCCTATATAAAAGCCTAAGGTATAAACATCAGCCTTTTAATGTCCCCACTGCTGCGGCACAAGCTTTCCCTATAATGGAATAGGGAGATTGGGTCATGACCCACCACGCGAGCCCAGTGCAGATTGGTGAGTGCTAACGACTGCAGATGCAGCTGGGATCAACGGCTTAACTTGCCTGCCGAAGCACGGAGGAGCTCGAGATAGTAAAGGAGATTGCTCAAATTGGCCCAAATGTACAAAAAATATTTTTATATTTTTTTTTAATATTTAGCTTTCTTTGGTTAACAAGAGTTTAAAAATTCTCTGTAATCTATGGCTCATTTACAATCATCACAGTTTCTGTCACAGAGTACCTATTTATAACCGGAAAATCCTGAAATGCATAGATGATACCTGATTTTAAAAGTTACTCTTGTGCTTGTTTAAAAACAGGCAACTATTTGTTAATCTGCATGCTCTATTTACCTGAATCTATTACATAATTTCGGTACTTGGCTTGATTTCCCTAGTTTACTGTATAACTTATTTGTTTTTTATTATTTTAATACCTATGTAAGTACCTATTTGCAAACATAACCTCAAAAACATTCAGTGTATATAGTATATAGAAGTTCTCAGGGGTGTCCGTCAATGAAATTCGTTTCTCCAGTAATTTATATATAATTTCGAATCTAGGAAAATTTTTTACATGATTTTTGGTCTTTAGGCCAAACATGTATGGAAGCTGAGCAATCTCCTTTTAGGTTACCCATCCAATGACCGACGACTGCGAAAGTAAAAAGTTTATATTCAACGATCGCAGCCGGACGCGCTAACCACTCGCGCTGTCGGGCTCCTCCCTAAGGTATGGTGGGAGCAATTCGCAAGGTGTAAGTGTCGCCGCACACGGGCCACCGACCACAACCACAAAACGCCACTACCGGCATATTTCTTGTAGTTTTCATACATTTTATATCGACTCGTCACACAAGATACGCCGGTGGCCGCCACACGCTACAAATCGTCGTTGCTCACTTCTTGTGGCCCGCGCCGGCCACTTAATGCGCCGATACAAAACGCCGCCACACATCTCTCGCGCGATTCCCCACCCCTCTCTCCCTTACCTTAGTCGGCCGCTGTTGCGCGTTTCAGCCACTTTAGTAGCCGCTTCTAGCTTCTCGTGGCGGCGTTTGTGGCTGTGGCGTATGGCCCGTGTGCGCCGACACTAAGACCCCCCCCCCCCCTTTTATATATATAGCCAGGTAAGCTAATGACTCTACCTCACCTGATATTTATGTTATTCGCTCGACTAAATCCCAAAATTCCTTCTTGGGCTACCCCAACATAGCTTATAGATGGACATAGACGCTTGTGATACTAGAGTCGTGCTGGCGATGACTACCCTTCTTGAGTGAGAAAGGTGTGACGCTTTCCTTGCAACGAGGGGTTGTAACAAGGATATGTGAGGACTTCTCCCCGTTTATGTCATCGGAGAATGGTGAAATGAGTAGTACTCTTAGCACGAATCAATATCGAATTCAAATAGTTGAATTCGATCGCAATACGCGTCAAATATCAAGAAGTTTTGTATGGAAATTTCAACGGCGCCACAACGGATGGTACGTGATTTAAAAATCTTAATCGAATTAAATTATTCGAATTCGATATTGGTTCGTATTAAGGGTTCAGGGGGTCTACTCTCTTTCTCCCAAACAAACTTTCGATAACGAAGTTCAAACGAAATTGAATTTCGTCAATTTAAGGTTATATTTAATTTGAACGTTAAACTATCAAATTGAAGCTTTCTTTGAATATGCTTAGAAAATCAACACCTCAATCTATATTCCGACGACGATTATTATTATCATTAAAAATGAACTAGGAACATAGTAAGAAAATTGCGATGTTTCGATCAAAATTTCATTTTTCTTTGAATTAGAGTAGACTTAAATCACAGACGATACTCCTAAAAATCTGATACGAATTTTGAGCGTTGTCTACCCTGACCCGAATATAATATATTATACAATTTATCGTATACTAGCGGCCGCCTGCGAATTCGTAGGCGTGGAGTTGCTTAGAGATAAAGGTTCACTGCTCGTTCCCCGTCGACGATAGCGTGATAATGGTGTCGATTCCGGCATGATTCTCTAAACCTAAACTTAAATTTGACAACAGTGTATCCTTGTCATTTTCTATGCAGAATGAAAAGGAGAGATTGATGTTAAATTTAGTTTGAAGTTTAAAGAATCATGCCAGAATCGACACCACTATGTAGCCTATAATATGTTGACCTGACTTCTTAATAATATTCGTGACAAATTTGAAGTAAATCCATGCAGTATTTTTTGAGTATATACCGGACATACATAGACAATCACACAAAAATTCTAAATACTATATTTTTGGCTTCGGCATCGATTGTAGGTCACACCTTACAAGTATTCTTTTAAAAAAACGAGTGAGCCTTACAGTAGTCGCGTATGTGTAACATTGGAAACCTTACCTTATATTAGTAAAAAAAGAAATAAATCCTACTACAAAATGAATAAAAGCCATTTCAACATTATGTTCTTAAATCAAATCAAATAGTGCGCGCTTTCGCGACTTCCTGTTACACACTTCCATTCCATTTCACGAAATCACTCCCACAAATTGCAGGAAAGCGAGAGGAAAGATGTTACACGTCAGAAATATTCAATGTACAGTTTTAACTTTCCTACCATTTTATTATATGTATAGATGTTAAAGAAGTTACACCTTCATTCCATTCAATAATTGTGTGTGGGTGGCTATCACTATTGTCTTACGAAAGTCTTTTTCGACAGACGGGTTCGACAACACCCACCCAGAGACCTTAATTTATGTAACCTTTCGATTGGATTCAATTTGACTACGGCGATGTGCACACATTTTAATGAATATTAATAGCCCAATTAAGGATAACCCAATTATGTAGCCCGAAGATAAGCAGAGCTTTAAGGATGAAAATGATTTTAACTATTAAGTAATACAAAAAAACAAATGCAACCAAAGATTAAAATGTTCATTCTAATTACATAGATAAATAGTACATTATGATATATACGCGGTAAGTTGAGAATTACAGCCGAGGCGCTATAAGAAGGCAGAGGCTGTATTTATCAAACCGCAAGTATGTCATACGACATTTATAACACATTTGCGAGGAAATAATACTACCTACGTACGTACTTTCTGAAAATGAATTTGCACATTTGTTTTCCATAAGATGAAAGAACAATGCCCATTTTTGACCTGATCATGTATACAGGATGACATATACGTCAAAATAAAGCTAATTTAATTATAAGCTTATTACAATAATCAATGTGGTAAAAGAAACGCAGGGAAAAAAGATTTTTTTATTATTTCAATATGTTTACTGTATGTGTAAGTTACAGTTTCCGATTTCCGAACGCACGTGAACTATCTTATGTTTGGTACGTTCCATTTTACACATTGCCACTTGACAAGAATATTTGTTCAACTCTGTTTTTTATGCGTTTCAAATACTTTTACACTGTATTTTATGTGTATGTTTTTCTATATTATATCCTTACTACACAATAATTTGAGTTTGTTATTTAGAATGCTTTGGTATTTTGTTTAATATTAAATAAAATAATGTAGGATTCCTGTAAGATGAGTTTTCACGCAATCCACTTGATGTTGCTCAAAGTATATTGCTAATTTCATTCTTGAGACAAATTACTCTTCACAATTGTTGTTTGGTTATTCATATCCGTTTGGCAGGTAAGAACGTTGTGTCCAATTTTCTTGTAAACATAAAGTAATCAATTTGTCATTTAAATTGACCAAAATATATTCTCTTTATAAGTTACTTGTCGTGAATAAATTAACAAATTAAATTGCAGATAATGCAAAAAACATCTGAACACTTCAGTGTTGCCAGAGCAAAAAAAAAATATAAGCTAAAAAAATAACGCATATTTTTTAAGTTTCCTGCGTTGAATCGTAAAAGTGACTATAGGATATTATTTTCTTAATTTATACGTAATCTTTCCAGTATACTTTATATTTATACATTAACTTTCATTATCAGGTTTTCAAATGTAGGGAAAGTGGGCATTGTTCTTTGATACGCTTGACTGTAAGTATCTATCCGTGGATTTTTGGGGCAAGAGGCTTAGCGTAACCTTTTTCGACATCTGGCGGTGTCAAATTAATAAATTCGTTACTACTTGATAGTATTTTCAAATAAAAACAATACAGCGAAAAGAAAAAGAAATAACTTTTACACAAATTAGCGATGCGCGCGCATCAACGCTTTTTTTAGGCAAAGGAACTAAAATCAGTCAGTGTTACTAATAAAGTAAATTAATATTTTTGTGAATTTGTTACCGATACATGGTTATAATTTATTGTCAAAATGAATCAAATTAAAGAATTAAATGTTTATTTATTATATTTTATCTCCCAAAGTTAATTTTATTAAGAAAATGTTGGCTACCTTTCTGACATAAAAACTCTTTGCTTAGATCTAAAAAAGCATTGTTTGTTTTTAGACGGAACATAATAAGCCGTGCGTTTTACTTTACATTACCGCACGCGTCTGTAATGTGATAGATTATGATATTGAAATTGGTGCAATAAGAGAGGCTTTACGTGCAAATGTGTTATAAATGCTTCAACCGAGACTTGAGCCCACTGAATAGTTATTTATGCAACTGTTGTATAATGAGGTTTTTGTTAGGAATTCATATCATGGGTGTAGATAATACTTTACCTACACAAATGATATGAATCCTCAATGAGAGGTTTTGAAACCATGACTCGTTATAAGAACTTGAAATTCATGAAAAGTTTTGACGCTGTGAAAAATCCCGCGTGAATGACAATGTCATTGTTCTTAATTATTATTGTTCTCAATTTTAAAATTCATACAGATACCAGATACAACGCATCGAGCAGTGAACATTGTGGCTTTCTGATGAGTAAATATTTTGTGCGGAAGGGTTCGGAAGGAGCGTGTATTGTGAAATTTAGTACATCAATAGATCATCCGTTTGATTGAAATTATGATTAGGACATTGGATGTTTTAATGTTGGCAATAAGCTGTTTCAAAATATTTTATAGAGATTTTTAGATCTACACCCATGTGTAGATAAAAAAAGCAACTCTCGCGCGTTGCCTTTGCTCATCTTATTTCCTGCGCTATGGAGCCCTGGAATCTTACAAAAGAAAAACACCCGTAAGGAGCATTATTTTATTGCGATCTTTTCTAAGATGGAGGTTACTAGCTCAGGCGGACATTTCGATCCAAACGGCAAAGCCGCTCTTCCTCATTAAAATAAAATTTTCAACACATTTGTTCTAAAAATGCATTTAAGGAGGTTGTATATATTGTTGGAAAGTTTTAAAATTACGGGACATACAACATAGCGCCGTGTGTATCTTATACAGTTTTATTTAATTTCTATGGAAGCTCCTTGGGACCGCTTTTAATCTATACCTATGTTTCACTTTAATACTAAAGAGAAATTGCGCCATTTGGAAATACGTGCCATTATCTTATTAGAAAAAGTTTGCTTAATTTCTGATCGAAGTTCATTACTTTAAAATTATATATTATTAAATTATTATCATTTTCTCTGTGGGTATGGCTTTATGCTTAGTTTTACACTTCTGTGTTTTATTTGGTTTAAGTCTGCGTCTCGGGCTTACATAACTTTGATTTACATTCGTCTACTCGTTTGTAATAAACCAACTTACCGCACTAATATCATATATAACTATTATCAATACCACATTTTAACACCCATACAACACAAAAAGGTTACGTTACAATACCACATTACCCATCGGTCGTAATTTTAAAACAAATAAAAACATTGTAATGAAAACGTGTTTCGATAAAAATTAAAAGAAAAGCCTTCACAATGGCATTTCGTGAGTATTAAAATACTCGTAACTGGTACGTGAGAAGTACGTGATAAAAAACTCTGTTGTGTTATGCGGAAAACGTGCTCATTGGTCAAAATAGCATGCATTTAAAATTATCTTTTCAACTTGGATTTGGTTTAATTATAAATTGGTACGTGGCTACCGTTTTTATAAACTGGTATATCAATTATTACCTTTATTTAATAGTTCTTCGATCGTAATATGGTTTCAAAACCATTAGCAGTTGGCACGTTCTGAAAAAGGAAAAGCTATCTTTTACCAGTTTAAGAGCGTGCGCTGCCTTAAGCGGGAGCACGGAGTGGGCGTCCGTCGCGGAGATCCGCTCCGTGCTCCGTGGCAAGACCCGTTCCACCAGTCGCGGAACCCGTTTGCATCGGTCACGGGACCCACGACGAACACTCGCCTCTCGTAGAGTCGCCTGTACAATTTCAATAACGGTTTTTTTGTTGATAATAATATTACCTATCCAAAAGACGACGCAGATAAGAGCACAGAAGACAGCCAATTTACGTAAGACGCTGCTCTATGAAATAACATGAAACAGCACGCGGAGCGGATGTCCGCTCCGTGCTCCCGCTTAAGGCAGCGCAGGTCACTAAAAACAAAAAGCTTTAATGAAATAGGTATGTTCAAAGTAAGGTATACTTTGAACTGTCCATCCTGACACATGGGCAGAGTTGAATTTTCTTTAGTAAAATTTTCTTTCCTTACACATTTTTTCTTAGTGCGTCCTTCTGAATAGTGGATGGCACGGGTTGGAATCCCTTCTGAAATCTTATTGTTAATGTCCTTAATGCTGGGGCACAGGCCTGTGCTATGGTTGGCATAGAGAGATTGGGCCATGATCTACGAAGCGAGCCCAGTTGGAATCCCTTCTGACATCTTATTATTAATGTCCTTAATGCTGGGGCACAGGCCTGCGCTATAGTTGGCATAGGGAGATTGGGCCATGATCCACGAAGCGAGCCCAGTGCGGATTGGTTGGCGCTAACGACAGCTGATGAAGCCGGGACCTGACGGGACCCACGGCCTTCCAAAGGTCTTGCCAAGCACGGAGGATCTTGAGCAAATAAATTTTGGTCACCATCCAATGACCCGCCATTGTGAAAGTTGTTTAACTTCCATCGTGCTAAACACCTGCACCATTGGGCTTCTGACACTTTAACCAAGCCCAATTTTTCTAGTAAAATTTTCTTCAGATTTGCTGATAGTTTTAATCTCCCAAGACTAGGTCGCAAGTTGACGTTGGTGATCACGGGCGTGCTGGGGGGTATACTGGGCCTGGTTCGCAGCTTCTCCGCGTGGTACTGGCTCTACATCCTGCTGGAGTTCCTAGAGGCAGCCATTGGAGACAACTGCTCACCTATGTTCATTCTAAGTAAGACATTTTTGCCTAAGGTGATCTGATATAGAGTGGAGTTATAGTGGAATTTAATTGTTAAAAGTAATTTATTTGCCAATGCAACCGTGCACAAAACTAATCAATTGACTAAATATCAAATAATAGGGAACTTTAAGAAATCATGTTTCTGGTATCACTGATATATTTCTGATATAAATAAAATCTTTTTTTTGTAAAAAGAATGGAAAGCTATAATTATGGTAGACGACCACCATAGCCTAACAGACGCTATATTGTTGAACGTGATAACGTACAGTTTTACTTGACTCTACTTCTTCTGCTAACTTAAGGAGCCTTAGCATTCTTCTCACCCATAGAAACACAACACTACCCAAATTATGTTTTATCATTGTAGCCTTTTGTAAGGTGAAGACAACCCTAGACGGTCAGAAAACCCTGCCCTACCTTTTTAAAAGCGTAAACTGCATAAATGAATTTGAGTTTGTGTATAGACTATTCCGGGTTTATAGTTGTTTTTTTTTATGATTTCAGCCATAGAAGTGGTATCGACGAAGAAAAGAGCCTTGTTCTACGTACTTTGTTGCTTCGGATACGCGTTTGGTGGTGTTATGCTACCCACTGCTGCTTGGCTCTTCCCTTACTGGAGAACGTTCCTTAGAGTTATCTACACTCCAGCATTATTCTTCTTCTTATACTTATTCACTATAGACGAAAGCCCAAGATGGCTATTGACGAAAGGAAGAAAAGCCGAAGCCATAGCAATAATCGAGAGAGCAGCGGCAAAAAATAAAATTGTAATAGACAGGGCGGTGTTAGAGAAACTTGAATATGAGGAAGAGAAGGGTTTACGGTTTATGGAACTGTTGAAGATAACGTTTTCATCTAAGACTCTAGCGAAGCGATGCCTGATATGTATCGTTTGGTGGACAACGTCAACCTTTGTTAACTTCGGAATGACGATCAACTCGGTGTCGTTGCAAGGGAATAAATACTTGAACTACATGCTAATGTCGCTAGTGGATATTCCGGGCAATCTGTTTATTCTGTACATTCTGAACCATTTCAAAAGGAAAATACCACTGATTACATCATTCATTGTTGGTGCAGCGCTGTGCCTCTCTCAACCTTTTGTGCCCTCGTGTGAGTAATGTTTTTAAATATTAGTTGAATACAGCAGAAAACATATCATTGTAAATTTACTTAATGATATGTTTCAAAATATTTTTTTAGATTAAATAAGTAGATTCTCGTCGTTTGTAATGTAGTTTCACGTAAATATAAATCCTCTGGACCACGAAGTGTCTAGAATGCCGAGCTGACCTGGACCCAATCCAGGTCAACGCGGTGAAGGGTATCTCGTGAGATGACGTGATAGGATAGTTCTACCGTGATTCATTTCTTTGTCCCGCTACTTGCAAATGAAATGCTGAAACAGACCAACAGACTGATGTGGTGAAATTAAGAGGCATTCTTGTTGACTACTGAAGACTAGAGATGGGCGTTTTTAGCGCGCATCGATGCCAAGTGAATGTCAGTCTAGCTAGTATCGTAGTATCACAGGATGCGAGGCGATATGAATTACGACAGATGCGTATTTTGTGTGGGTGTGTCTCTTCGATTCCATGAATCATGACTTGAAAATGTAATCGAAACCATTTATCTACTTTACGGCATTGAAACAGAAAATATTGAATGTTAGCAAAATTATTACCTAAAGGAATAATTTTGCTAACAACACAACTAAGGAACAGATGGCGCTGCTAGCCATGTAAACATCGACTGCGCACAAAAGTTTAATTTAAAAATACAAAAACAAGTGATTTCAATCAAGTAAAGTAATAATTATTTAAAAGTGAGCATAAATTGTACCGTTTATTGTTTGTGGAAGTTTTCATACGGTAACTTTGACATAAAAGTGAAAAAACTGCAACAGTGAAAATGTGTGATAAGTGCAAAGTTTGTACAGATAATAAACCAAAATAAACGAAAATAACTAATGCAAGCGTTAAAAGGATTCACACTTATGGGTGGATAACTTATTAGAATAGACATTGAAACAGTTTTGTGAAGTTAAAACATAAACGCTATTTATAAAGAAGGTAATTTAACTTCCAGTATCGGTATCAAATCAATCGTCACTAACGGACTTAACAAACGTAATGTAACACATGAACTGATACTAAATTTCGTCAATAGTCTTCAAACCTAGTTGGAACAGTGGATAAGGCATTGCGCCGACACCCAGAGATCGACTGTTCAAATCCTCAGCGAACCAATACATTTTTTTTAAAGGAATTGTTTTTCATTATAATATTCTACATATTTGTAAAATGAATTCCGAGCGCAGACGAAGATCAATTTCTCCGAGTGAAAGAACTAGTAAAGATGACAAATTAAGCGATTCGCCACTAGATGGCACTGCGAGTAGCGTACCAAATATCTCATTAGATGGCGATAGTGATGAAAACGAACAAATACAGACATTAAAAAAACAGATAGACAAACTAAATATTGATTTGGCGTTGGCTAAGGAAGAAATAAATAACCTGTCATTGGAAAATAGAAATCTAAAAACGGTTTTACAAGAAAAAAACTCAAATGAAAGTACTAAAGAAACAAATGGCCAAAGTAATAAAATCATTAATATTTCCTCTACTCCAAGAAGGGCAAGCAGTAATATTTTTTCACCGCAATCATCGGATATAATTATAGACAAAATAGAAAAGGAGAAACAAACTCACAAAAAAATTTGTAATGATACAGCCGTGATAAGCAAGCGAATCAGACCTAGTAAACATTTTTCTAAAAAAATTTGCTTTGTTAGTAGCAATAATAAGAACAGTATACTGGATATCGCAGAGACTTCTTTCCAAGATCATCGCATATTTCATTATATAACACCGAATTGTGGTAACCAGAAGATGATTGAAAACCTAGAAAATAAATTAACAGGGTACACAATGGAAGACTATTGTATCATATTAATCGGTGAAGAAGATTTCTTAACCACTCTTAATTATTTTGAAATTGTTATGCAATTGCGACAGACATTACAAAATCTAAATCATACTAATATTATATTATGTGCTCCAACTTATAGATGTAACGAATACTCTAAAATGTTTAACTGTAGAATTGAAACATTTAACAATATATTAAGTTTTGACATGTTTTCGCATAAATACGCTTATATTTTGGACTCTAATTTAGAATTATCTTACGATTATGACATGTTTTCACACAATGGTATAAAGGCATGGAAAATATATTTGACAACTTAAAAAAAATAATTTTTGACATTGAAATTTACAATAGCAGGTATGTAATTTGTCAGAGCGAGGCCATGCAAACACGATCAGCTACAAATAACAATTTTTTTCTCTCCTAAAAATCTGCACTTCTCTAGAATTACTTTAAATATTTTACATCAAAATATAGCTGGATTATTAAGCAAGTCTGATTCACTTGTTGTCTGTTTAGAGGAACTATCTGAAAAGAATGTAAATGTTGACGTAGTGTGTGTAACGGAGCACTTTATTATGGCCGGCTATGAAAAATTTCTATCCGTCTCCAATTACCAGTTAGCTTCCCACTTTAGCAGAAAAAACTCTAAGCGAGGCGGAGTTTGTATTTTAATTAAAAAATGCCATCAATGGAAAGCATTACCCAAGGTAGCAGAGCTTTCATTGCCGCGTATATTCGAGTGTTGTGCGATGGAATTGGTACTCCATAGGACTGCAATAGTATGCATCTATAGGGTTCCTAAAGCGGCACATGTGAATGTTTTTTTCTCCAAGATGGACCAATTACTATCGCTCCTAAGTAGGAAAAAATTCAGTAATATTATAATAGCGGGTGATTTTAATATCGATGTTTTAAAAAGAAACAGTATGACATTAGAGTTTCAATGTAATGAATGAATTATAATCTTAAATTGGCGCTGAAAGAGCCGACTAGATTGATAAGTAAAACGTGTATTGATAATTTTGCTCATAACTTCCCAAAGACTTGCAGGACGGAGGTGCTAGAGTTAGCTTTATCCGATCATACCGCATAACTATTAACTTGTCCAGTAAAAAATGTACCTGTAATTAAATTTTGGCGTAAGAAATATAGAGATTTTTGCATCGAAAATATTTCAAAATTTAGGGATTGCCTCATGAGGTTATCGTTCTCAGAAGTATACGACACAGATGATCCAAATGCTGCATTTTCTACCTTCATGGATTATTTTAAGTTGTTTTATGATCTTTGCTTTCCATTTAAATTAATTACCATATTCGTTACAAGGAAACCTAAATGGGTCTCCAAGGGTGTTAGATTATGTAGTAAGAAAAAAAGACGCCTACTATGGAATCACAGACTTAAGCCAACAAAAACTAATAAAGAGATATTCATTAAATATAACAAATTGTATAAGAAAATCATTCGACTCACGCAGCGTGCACAGAACGATTTTCTTATAAAAAATTCTAAAAATAAATCTAAATCTACTTGGTCAATTATAAATAACACCAGGCTTAATATCCCTAAAGATCATATCTTAGAAATCAATGACAACGACGAAATGATTTGTAATCCAGAACAAATAACTAATAATTTTAATAATTACTTCATTAACAGAATAACTCCGGCATCGGTCTCTAGTACATATGGAACCTCCACCTTAGAAAATACAAGAGATTCTTTTTTTATGGCACCTAGTGTACCAAAAGGTATTCTACTCATTATAAAGAACTTGAAAAACACTAATAGCGAGGGACATGATGGCATATCGACTAAGATAGTTAAGTCAGTTGGAGATCTGATAAGTGGACATTTAAGTTTTATTATTAATTTGAGCATTCTTTCTTGTATATATCCAGACATGCTTAAAACATCTATAGTTAAACCATTGTTCAAGAAAGGAAACAGATTATTGATGAATAACTATAGACCGATTGCTCTTAATCGAGTTATGTCGAAAATTTACGAAAAATATATCTATAAAGAAATATATACGTATTTGGAACGAAAAAATATTTTTTGCCAAGAACAAAATGGTTTTCGTCAAAATAAAAATATTAACAAAGCTTTATTTGAATTTCTAAATAATGTAATATCTAATATGGACAAAAGAAACCCTATTTCTGCAATATATTGTGACATGACACAAGCTTTTGACCACGTAAAACATGACATTTTATTAAAAAAACTTGACGCATATGGCATTAGGGGAAATATATTGAAACTAATTGAAAGTTATTTAGTCGATAGAAAACAGTATACTGTCATCTCACAAATTAATCCTAAATCTGGTTTGGAAGAACATTACTGCTCAGAAACGCGCATAGTAAAATATGGAGTGCCTCAAGGGAGTACGTTGGGTCCATTGTTTTTCAATGTTTATATAAATGACCTACCTAAATCAGTGAATTGTCCAATTACTCTTTTTGGTGACGACAGTACTTTGACTATTCCGTGTAACGATCCTGACATTTATGAATATGACATTAAAAATTCTTTGACATCAGTTATTTCGTGGTTAGATAATAATAATTTAAAAATTAATCTTGAAAAGACCCAATTAATGACATTTAAGCAACGGATACATAATGATCGACCTCTAAAAATTGATTATCAGAATTTTGACATATGCGAAGTAGAAAGTTCCAAATTTCTAGGTATTATGATTGATTGTAGATTAAATTGGAAATCTCATATAGAATACCTTAGTAAGAAAGTCAGTAGTGTGGCCTATGCGTTATTTAAATTGTCTTCTTTATTGAACACAGATGCCCTGCTTACCGCATATCATGGTCTATCTGCGTCAATTCTGAGATACGGTATTATCTTCTGGGGGAATTCTACTGATAAAGACACAGCATTTAAAATGCAAAAAAGATGCATAAGAGCAATGTTTGGTTTAAAAATAACGGACAGCTGTAAACCGTATTTCTTAAAACATAAAATTCTGACACTTCCGTCTATGTACATTTTTGAAGTTTTACTATTTGTAAAAGATAACATGCATCTTTTCATTAGAATGGCAGATGTTATAGATCGCAATAGACGCGATAATAGTAGGTTGTGCATGCCAAACTCGAGAACAGCTCTTATGGGAAAAAACATATTCTGCATGGCCCCTCGAATATATAATAAACTCCCGACATATATAAAAGAATTAAATTTTAATTTATATAAGAAGAAAATTAAAAATATATTACTAGATAAATGTTATTATGATGTATCGGAATTTTTAAATGACAAATTTTGAATTATAATTATGTTTTATTATTATTATTTCTATTTTGTGATTAATTTTGACATTTTATTATTGAATTGGAATCATTTGAATTTGACATGTTTTATTATTGACATATTTTGAATTGTAATTATGTTTTTATTATTATTATTTCTATTTTTTGATTAATTTTGACTTTTTTTTTATTGAATTGGAATAATTTGAATTTGACATGTTTCATTATTGAATATTAAGATTTTTGACTTAGAATTTAAATAACTTAATGAATTTGTATGCCCATAGCGGCACGACATGTTATGCACCCATAAAATCATAACATCTTACTTACACATGTTGTTCAAATAAATATTTTCTTTCTTTCTTTCTTTCTTTCTAAATTGCACTCCGAGCGTAGATTTTGAACGCAGTCCAGTGCCACAAACTTTTCTGTGCCGGTGGCAAAAATTTGAACTACAATTTATCCATAACATTTTGACAATTTCATAACGTTGACAAAAACTAGATGCCATCGGCATCCAATAACAGTACCCAGTCGCATCGGTTGCGCGCATCCAAACCTGACATCATTATCTTGCATAGCTATTCTAAAAGCGCTCACCCCTGAAGACAAAAATGTGAATATCATGGTGATGATGTTTAGTCAGTGTCTGAGAAATTTAATTGCACGGTACGGTGCTTTTACTAATTGCTACACACAAGTACTTTGTGCTGTGTGCGATCGATTTAAAGTACAGCCTCAAGTTCAGGATTATATATATGTGTTAATACTTTAAGAGATTAATAATAATATTTCCCACACACACAAATTAGCCTAGCCCCAAAGTAAGCACTGTAAGGCCTCTGTCATTGGATGCTAGGATAACGGATAAAATAGACAATATTTGATACATATATAAGTATGTTTTTATAGAAATACATATAAACATCCATGACTAAGATACAAATGCACCTTATTCATCATACTTAAATTTGCCCCCACCGGGATTGGAACGCGGGACATCACGAGTAGGCAACACCTTGAAACTCGGCATTTATTCCACTCGGCCACAGAGGTCATCAACTATATTTTACAAATCAAACGGATTGTCTTCTTCCAGACTTGCCCTGGCTATCCATATCCTTCTACATGGCCGGCAAATTAATGTCCTCGTTCTACTTCAACATCACGTACATGTTCACGTCGGAGCTGTTCCCGACCTACACCAGGAATTCCATGCACGCGCTCTGCTCCTCCCTGGGGAGGATAGGATCCATGCTGGCGCCGCAGACGCCTTTACTAGTAAGTGTAGAACTAGTTTACGTAGAAAGAAGAGTGTTGGAAATGTAAGTTATATCGTTCTTAATCTCGTTTCAGACTTTACAATTTTCAGGCCCACTTGCACCAAATTCAAATTAAAAACCTTATCATGTTTAAGCCTCATTTTATCTCTTTGACTTTAAAGAATTGAGATTGATGGAATAATGTGATAGAGGCAATTAATCCATAATTTGAATTTAAAATGTTGGTGCAATTAGGCCTCAGTGTATTATATCGAGATTCCCCAAGTATTTAACCAGATAACCTACAATTAACGCCACTTAATCTCTTATTACAGTAAGCTTGAAATATTGTATTGAAGAGCTCAATGGTGCAGTGATTTAGGCGAGTTCGCTTTGCGTTCTTTTAAGTAAATAAACTGGACCATTAGCTGTTCATAGGTCCTGGTGATCAATAATCTCATGTTCTTTCGAGCTTCAAAATCCACGCACGCTAAGCCGCACTATGAGCAACTGTAGTATTTAGCACTTGGGCCGCATTTAGCCCCCGGAATAATTTGCACTGGGCCCGCATAATGGAAATAGCCCATTCTCCCTATTCCGTTCATAGGGAAGACCTGGGCCCTGAGCAGTGGGGTATTAATAGGCTGATGATAAGGATAATGAATTTTTGTGTTGTAATCGCAAATTCGTCATTTTACAAATCTACCTAATGTGACATTCGTTATAGATTAACTGATCCGCAAGCCGTTGGTGTAATCACGACGTCATTGATTTGTTTCATTTCAGATGCATTACTGGTCAGGGCTACCACCAATAGTCTTTGGTGGGGCGTCCCTTGTTGCAGGGCTGGTCACCTTCCTAGTTCCTGACACAGCTGAAAATTCATTGCCCAACACTGTTAAAGAAGCCGAGGCACTTGGTAATGATAAGACGTCGAAAAATAAAACAAAAGACGGAGGTGAAATAAACCTCGCATTCACTAAAGAAGACACAGGGCTAAACTTGGTTGTAAATAAGGAAGCTCATCTGTCACGGTTGTGATATAAATTATTTATTATGTTGTAGGGATAGATGATTCTGTGTGAATAAAATATTGAGTAAGTCGTTTCCTGTTTTATTACTCTCATTGTCATTCCCAAATTAGACTGCAAGGGCACAAGGAAAACAAATTTGGTTGCCTTTGAAAATATCACGACATTCCGGAAACAATTACTTACTTTGTGTGAGTAAAACAGTTATACCTATTTACTTAAAATAAATGTTGGCTTGCATGTCTCGGATTTAATATTTTATGCATTCATAATAGCTATTATGAAACATAATTAAGAGAATGCATTGACTAGACATATTTTGTTAAGAAATTATAGGAAGAAGTCTACGTGCATATTTAGACTTCAAGCACGAATATCCACAAAATTTGTCAATAATTCGGATTCAACCTGTTAGTAGTATCCGTGCCTGATCACGTAGGTACTTATAGCACAAGGTATCCGGTATCGCATCTGGCACGCGTGTAATTGCGACATAGTTGCATCGCTGCGATCCCGCCTCTCGAATGCAACTGTGTCGGCGTCAGCTATTTTGAATTTGGCGACGACGCCACCTGCGGCGGGCGCTCCGCCAATATTAAGCCCTGAGTGCGGCTCTGTTACGATTTCACGCGGCGTTTGGGTCCGATTGTTGCTCGCTGTGCCGGGGGATTTATGATCTAGATACTGTGTCGTTCTGTGTTATTAAATTTTATGAGCATGTCAACGATACAGTAATGTTAAGCACCAACATTGTATGAAAGCCACAAAAGGGCTCAGACTAAAGTTTATTCTTTTTTCAATTATTATAATGTTTAACTAGAAAAAAAATCCACGCGGACCAGGCAGCAGACGGGACTATTCCGGCGAATGCACTTATGCAATGCAATTATGCTACCGCGGCCCTGACGACCGCGTCGAAATTCTTCTAGCCATTCTTAAGCTGCAAGGCAGCGACCATTTCTTCGCATTGTAGGTAACCCACAATGTCAAATGAACACTTTTACAAGTATTTAACATTTGAAAGAAGAAAAAGCAATTATAGTTATAATTTTATATATTATATTAAATATATTTTCTTTAGATTTAAACATCAAGCAGTTACATGCTTCAAAAATAAAAATTGGTTTGGAACTCTCCGACTTCTCAAGGTTTTATTTATGATGATCGTCAATACACTGACAAAGGCAAATAAAAATACTACAAAAAATAGCTACAGCACATTTTTACAACATCTAAATTCATGATTCATTCCTCTGCCAGAGCCGGTTTTAATCACAAGATCCACAAGTATAGTTGAATAGAAAAACATTTTAGCTTTGCTATTAGAATTCCACCCGTTTCGAGTATTTGTAGGGCCATTATCGCGGCAGCACTAACAGCAGTTGGTGCTGTAAGTCACGTAGAGCACTAGCGGTGATACAACTGCAACACCTAATCCCAGCTGGGCAGCGTAATTGCGACGTGTTTGCATCGCCGGCCGGCACGCCGCGTGCAGCTCTAGTGGCTATTTTCAATTTAGCGACGCCGAAGATTGCAGTCGCCGTGCTGATATTAATCTCCGAATACGGCTCTGTTCTAATTTCGGTTTGTATTTCGATAATATGTCTACGGCATTATTAATTCCTAGCATTTACAAGGTAACACGAGAGTCTTTTGATAAGGTAATACGAGAGTCGTGTGTGACACAGTTCCATTATATTCAACACAAAATCTAAATTGTACAAAGATTTTTTTAGGAATCGGCATTGGCTGTGGAGAAATGTAAAAATAAATATAACAGCTGAATATTTTTACTACACAACAGAAAAAAATCTGCTGTCAAAGTGTGTATCTGCTGTTGAAAAAATCTCGAAAGTGTGTTAGTTTTAGCAAGTGTTAGTAACAAACCTAACAAAATATTTGATTTTGTTAGGTTTGTTATTTACTCATCAAAACAAAATATTATAACTTACAAAATTACATTGACATGCGTAATTTTGTATTTATTTTATGGGATGGCTCCGCCAAGTACTTGTTCGATGCTTTGGATAGGTTACAGCGGCGCGCGATATGCATCATAGGCGGTGTGGAGGTGACTAAACACCTTGAGCCTCTTCAATTACGCCGTGACGTGGCGTCACTGAGCGCGTTCTATCGTCTGTACCACGGCGAGTGTTCTGAGGAGTTATTCTCTCTTAACCCACCTTCCCCTTTCCTTCAGAGGACCACGCGCGCTGGCCTACATTGTCACCATCTTACTGTGGCCACAATTCCAACGCATACAAAGAAAGGACAATGTTAAAATTAGCCTAAGAACCAACACCAATTTGGCATTTATGATAATTCTTAGTATATTATTTGCGATAATTATCAGTATTTAGATTGTGACGGACACTTCCAGTTAAGTAAGCTAAATTAAAAAGTTAATATATAATCTGAGACAATAAATACCATTTTATGTGTATAATCTATGACAGCGCTGCAAACAAAAACATTTTCTTCCTAATGGCGGCACTTAACTTGGCTATTCGTATCTGCTATTTAAAAACATGATATCAGTGTGTCCTTTTCATTTCTTATTAAGCATGACAAGGACAAACTGTTGTCAAGTGAAGGGCCGGCATAAACTCGATACTCTGTGGTTGTGGTGCAGGCAGTTTGCATTCGTAGTAATCTGTGGCATTCGTGCATTCTCGTCAAAGAGTACTTTTTATATACGGAAAATTCTCGCTCGGATTACCTGTTGTGTGTTTATTTGTGATTGTTTTTCCTTTAATTAAACTATTACTATTTCGGCTATCTAATATGCCATCGATGTAACCAAAGAGCAGAGACCTTAATACCAAGTGCTAGTGAACCTGTGTCACAATATCCTGAGAGGATCATACTGCCAAATTATTCAAGAAGACCTGATACGCTGTATATTTACACAATATACATGTGTTAAACAAATAGATACAATTCTGTGAAAAATAGTCAATAAGTAATAAGAAGCAAAACTATTGTTTTTATTTTATTTATGATTCCTACCTAACCAAGTTTTTCCTAATAGTTATTCTTTAAAATCGCACCGAATAAAATGAATTTGTTGTTAATTCACTTCATACTGAGTTCATACTAAGTTCTTCATAGGTTGACCTATGTTTCTTTGAATATTAAACTGTACGATCAAATCGTACATTTTGCAAGCAAAGCATTTAATTGTTTAGGTCAATATTTTACCGTTTAAATACATTTCATAATCACGTCCAAGTTAGTTCGCGTTTGTCTCAAGCAGTGTGCACACAGTTACACCAAGTTTAATAATAAATATTTTCGTCAAGTTTATCAAGTGTTTTCCTGTCTTCAATATCAAGAAATAGCAATTCAATGTACTGAGTTGACAAGGGCTCGTACAAAACATAACCTCAAAAAAAAATTAGTTTTCTTAATAATTTAAGTTCTCAGAAGTGTCCGTCAATAATCTTTATTTTTACAGCCATTTACTTGCGATTTCGAACCTAGAAAATAATATTTCATGATTGTTGGTTCTTAGGCTATGTATGGACGCAGAACAATGTCCTTTGGTGACTCATTTCTTTGTCGCACTATCCGTAAATGGAATGCTCTGCCCGATCACGTGTTACCTCCCTCTTACAACCTGGGATCCTTTAAAAGAGGCGTGAAGAAGCAACATGCAGGCCGGCAGGGTGAGGATGGCTGGTGTGGTAGGTAGAACTGCTGTATCAGCTATCTACGCGTCTGGACTTCACCTTCACTAAAACTCCACGCGGACCAGGCAGCAGATTAGACTCGAACCCGCACCCTTCGAAAGAGGAGAGCGAAGAGTGCGGGTTCGAGTCCCGTCTGATGCCTGGTCCGCGTGGATTTTTTCTAGTTATATTTTCTTAAGAGTTTATTAATTTAAGGCCTTTAATAACCGACTTGATAACAACGACAGTCGAAGAACGAACGCCCAGTAAAAAGCGATGAAAAATACAAATGTGAGTGTCGTGGAACACTTAGTTGTACTATTAGTTCTTATAAGTACACAATTACACGCGGTTGGGACGGAAACATACCCACCCGCTAAGTTCGTACCGTCCGAAAAGGAACTGAAATCTTGAAAGTCGGATTCTTATTTCCCATTAAATTTAAATAAAACAAAAAAAAATAACGAGCCTTAAAGTAGTCGCATATGATATGTAACATTTGAAACCTCACCTTATATTAGTAAAAAAATAAATAAAATCTACTACAAAAGGAATACGCCATTTGAAAATTTTGTTCTAAATCACATCAAATAGCGCGCGCTTTCGCGACTTCCTGTTACACGCTTCCTTCCCATTTCACGAAATCACTCCCACAAATGGCAGGAAAGCGAGAGAAAAGATGTTACACATCAATAAATAAATTGATAACGCTCTCAATGTGTACCCTTCACAAAGTCTTCAAAGAGACTTCAGAGAGAGTTGTAGTGGGAGGCGGGGAAAAACGCCCAGGTACACACCTGTACCTGGTATAGCGTGTCATGTGTAGACCGGGTCTTCGCACTCTAATCGTATGGGTGCGGTGTTTGCCTAATGCTGAGCTAGTGTGCAAGTATGCTATCTGTGTCGGGCCACCGTTTCAGGGAGGGGAAGCGTAGTTCTTACCGCCCCTCCCCCCCCCCCCCATCCCGGTCGCCCGCGTCTCCTCGCGTCTCCTCGCGTCTTCTCTTAGTAGAAGAGGGGGGAAACGCGGACGACAGCATTCGTGGGGGGTCCGAGCGGCCGAGGCTACTCGGACATCCCCCCTTCTGAGGGTGCCCGTCCGGGCGCCGACGTCTCAGAGGACACTCGCTCCGGGGGTTTGCCCCTGGTAACCGAAGGGTCGCACCTCCTGCCTCCCATTACATGGCCGGCCGGCCGACCACCGCCCGCACATACCGCGCACAGGGCCGGGGCGGCGCACGTCGCCGCCTTGTGGCCCGCCTTGCCGCACCTGAAACACAGGTTGCTGCGGTCAACCTTGGCTGGGCAGTTAGTAGCCGCATGACCCCTGCCCATGCATCTATAACAATGTGAAGGCGGGGGGCCTCTCACGCGAACCAGGCTCCGTCCCACCTTCAGTATGTC